AGCACCTTCCCAGAAAGCACAAGGACCAGAGTTCACAAAAAAATCTCAATCAAGGAAAGCCTTAATGGTACATATTATCATACCAAAAATGGGTATTTTCTGATTCTTTCTCTTTCTTTTCCTTCCTTCCCTTCCCTCCCTCCCTCCCTTCCTCCCTCCCTTCCTTCCTTCTTTCCTTCCTTCCTTCCTTCTTCCTTTCCTTCCTCTCTTTCTTTGTCCTTCCTTCTTTTTCCTTTTTGAAGCAGAGTCTTGCTACATTGTCCAGGCTTGCCATGAACTCACAGTCTTCTTGCCTCAGCCTCCCAAGTATGGAGATTACAGGTATGTACCACCAGGAGTTTTCTGTTTCTTATTGTGAAGAATGTTGTATGGAATACCTCCGCCTAGAGACCTGATTATTATACATGTGGCAGGTCTGGATTTGATTTTAGCTATGGCAAGGCAAAGAGGACACAACGGAAAAGTTCAATGTTTCTATGAAGTGTGACTGATTCAACAAGCTCTTTTCTGTTTCTGAGTCTGTTGGCCAAGAGACCCCCATGTGATCCGGCTTTAATTCTTTGCAGGGCAATGTTGGGGCATTGCTCATGAGGTAATTTCTCTGGAAGGGTTTTGGGCAGCTTCACAGACTGAGTCACATTTCCTCCACCAGGTGATACCCCATCATCTATAGCCTGGAGAGATGGAGAGTGATTTCACATTTGCCTTCTGTAATGTTTCAGGATGTATCACTGTGGTGAATTCAGATAGAATACTTTCTCTGCCTTTTGAAAACAAGTTGCAGTGATGGCCACAAACCTTTTCTGGTTCAGTGCACAGGAGGAGAATGTCATTGGGGTGAGGGGACTGACTGTGGTTCTATGGGACTTTCTTCCTTAGGAAGCAAGAATGGGAAGTCCACCACCCAAAGAGAAGAACAAAACCACGCCTCTTATTTCCATAAGCTCAGCACAGTCTGCTCATAATTTTCCCCACAAAGAAAGAGCATACTTTCTTGTGCTCTCTGGCAGTTAGTAGGGCCAAATGTCCCTCTTGAATCTCCATTTGGCCTAATTCCAACCTTTGCTTCTCCACTATGTATTTCACTGATGAATTCCAGTTTCTATTGGCTTTAAAAATAGGACTTTCTGATTCAAATGGGCAGCTGCAAATTGCCTAATAGATCCAACATCCTTCCTCCGTAAGTACTTTGCTCCTTTCAGTCACCTATGGTTTCAGGGCTTAGTAAATGCATCTTGAAGAAATCTGCTTTACATCTACAATCTTCATCCCAAAATGAATGTGTGATTTATCACTGATGCAGCAAATGGCAGGGAAGAAAAAGGAATCACAACAGTATGTTTATCATAGGGCCAGGAATAGTGGAGCAAACTCTCAGATCCCTGTCTAGTCTACAGAAGACATTTTATGTCTATGTCAATCTGTGCAAAGTCAGTTTATCCGTTTGGTCTTGAACCTTCATCGTGGTAGTACTGGTCAACTTGAAAATATCTGTCTAACCTAACCATGAGAAGCTGCTTAAATTATTGAGGACTCTGAAAGAGAAAGTACAACTTTTCAGGTTCCCAGGTTGGTACTAAAAATCTGGCATTCCTTGGGGTCCTCTTAAACAATGGTAGGGTTCCTGTCTCTAGAAGGCCAGACAAATTACAAAGATGAAAATCATTTGAGATTTCTGTCACAGATGGTACTGCATCTGGATTTTTTTTTTGCCTTCAGTACTGCCTCCTTGGTTTAAGTGAGAACACAGCTTCCAAATGTGCTGGTCTTGAGGGACAGTTATTTGACCCTAATTAGGCAGTTAGGAATGGAAAGTGACTGGGTCCTTTATGACCGGAAAGGACATAAATCACATTTCCTGTTCCTGTCTAGGGTGATAGGTTCCATGTTGGGCATAAGAGCTTAGATCAGAAGCTAGCCCTCCCACTTTCACCCAGAATGGGAGGGGTCCAACCAGACAGAAACTTGCATCCAATCAGAGAGGCCCGCCATGCTGAGCAACCACTGCTTTAACAGATCAAGCCAAAGGTACATCCTCAAGTGGGAGGGAACAAAGGACCAACTATCTAGCAGGAACGAAGAAGCTTCAAATTTCTCTCATGGAGTGATTAGGAGATTCCCTTCCCACTTGGAGAGTCTGCTGATTCTTTTCCCTTTCATGGCTTGCTTTCATCTTCAAGTAAACTTTCTCTGTCTACATTAGTCACTTTCTTACATTTCCTGCATTGTTATTCTTGAAAGGGCAGAGACAAAAAGACCTGAACTGCCCCTAGACCATGTCAGTCTGGAAAACAAAGCTACTGCATTCTTTCTCTGTCTCTGTCTTTTTCTCTCAACCCCTCTCTGCGTAAGCCCTGCAGTCTAAGGGATTAAGAGCTATGCACATAGGCTTTCTAGTCAAGACTGGGGGAAATTGTAGAGACCAGGTAAAGGTTCTTCACTGTGTTGGTTCACCTGAAATTCTCTGGGAACTGAACACCAGACTTCTGGAGGGAGAACCTCAGATTGGCTGAGAGGTCCTTAAGATGGATTCCAGTTGCCCCTCTCAGAGCTGCTTCAGTGCCCAAGACCCACATGTAACTATCAATTACAGCTAAAACCAAGGAAGTGATTTATCACTTAAATTAGTGGAACTTTAATCTTCAAAATATGAGAATTATTTTTCTTTGATGTACTTAGGTTTGAACTTATGGCCTTGTCTTTACCAGGCAGGAACTTTATTCCTTATTGTTTAATTTTTATTTTTTGGGGTCATTATTGTAAGAGTGATATAGAGAGGGGTTACACTTATGTAAGTCAGGTAATGAGTACATTTCTTTTTGGACAATGTCACTTCTTCCCTGCTTTCTCCATAGCTTTTAAGCCAACTTAAAAATCAGCTAGAAAGCAAGGTTGCTAATAATTATCTATGAGATCATGTCACAGATGTAGGCCTCTTAAATCTTTTATTTATTTCAGGAAACTCCCTATATTTGATTCTAGCTTTGAAGAAATACATGTTTTCACAAAAGATGGTTAAGTTAGGCAAACTGGTTTATCTTTCCCAAATACTGAACATAGTGGGCTCATGCATGTCTCTTGGTATCTACTACAACTTTGTGTGTGTGGGTCTGTGTGTGTGTTACTGGAGATTAAACTCAAGACCTCTTGCTTGCTCATTAAGTGCTGTAGCACCTGAGTCACATCCGGTCATAACACAATCTTTGAAAGCAATTTATGCTCATAAGACACAGACTGGTTTGTCTTTGGAAATACTATTCTCTATGGTCTGCACAAAATGGTAGTGAGCCAAGTGGGTGTGTTGCTGTCTTCAGTAAACGGCTAATAGCCTTAAGAAGTGTTCAGTAACGACCAATGAAGCTTTCCCTTCTGGCCTTTCCTTTTATGGCAATGGACTGGTTTTATCCCCAGGGCTCTTCTAACGCACCTGGAGACTGCAATCTCTCAGGTCCCTGGATTTCTAGTCTGAATTGTTCCAGCAAAACCTGACTATGTCTGCTTTGAAATTTCCAAACTGATGCTATGGAAATCTTATAGCACATGATTCTTAATAATTTCGATCTCAGCATAGTTTTATCTTAAAAAAAATCTGCATAAGCATATATAGAATATTCTCTAAGAGGAAGTGGTGCTGTAGCTCAAGTGGTAGAGCACTAGCCTTGAGCTGAAGAGCTGAGGGACAGCGCCCAGGCCCAGAGTTCAAGCCTCACGACCGACAAAAAAAAAAAAAAAGAATCTCTAAGATTACTTTTTTTTGGGGAAGAGTTTGGGTCCTGGAGCTTGAACTCAGGGCCTGGCCACTGTTCCTGAGCTTTTTCACTCAAGATTGGCACTCAACCACTTGAGTCATGGCTTCTTCTGGCTTTTTGGTGGCTAATTGAAAAGCCTCATGGACTTGCCTGCCTGGTTTGGCTCCAAAACTACTTTATCCTCATATCAGCTTCCTGACCTGTGAGGATTATCGCTGTGAGCACACTGGTGCCTAGCCAGGGTTACCTCTGTGTGTGTGCGTGCACATGCGCACGCATGTGTGCATCCTGGCTCTTAAACTTGGAGCCTTGGTGCTATCCCTCAACCTTATTTTGCTCATGACTAGCACTTTACTAGTTTAAACACAGCTCTACTATTGGCTTTTTGGTGTGCTTCATTGGAGATAGTCTCACAAACTTTTCTGCTGAATAGATCTTCAGCCACTGGTGCCCAGCATTATTTTTCTTTTTAAAATCCATTTTCATTGCTGAGCTTGTTTAAACATTTGGCAACACCATGAAGATATAAGGTGTTATTTACTAATCACATCTTAACAATTAAAAAAAAATCCTGTACTCCTTACATAAACAATCTATCTTGGCTCCAGGTTTAGTTCTGAACTTACTTTGTAAGACTGATTCTTTTAGAAGATACTACTTTTTTTCAGAATAGTCACTTGGACTGCTCAGTCACAGTCAAAAACAGAGGTACAAAAGCATTTTAAAGAGAAAGAGTAAACCCCAGAACGGCAACACACCTAGTTCACAGTCTCTGAGTTGGAGAGGAAACAGCAGCTATCCTGGTTCATCATCCTGTTGCCCATCAGGTATCAAAGTTCAACCTGAGTTCAGCTAACAGCGATGACCCAGCCTGATAACAGAAGCCAGTAAGCAGACTTTCCTTAGGCCTTTGGGAGCAGTAGCCACGGCTTAGAACTTACTTGTATGGGTGTATTTTGTAAAGTTCAAATCACACACAAAGGGCTTTTCTTGTATGATAGGTGCTGCAAATAACAACAAGTCTAATGAAATGTATTTATTACAGTACCACTGTCAATACTGCTGGCAGCCCAAGACTGACTTAACCAATATTCTCTTCTATTCTTTGGTTAGGAGCTATTCTTCCCCTGCCCTTCATAAATATTCTATGGAATGATCAATCTTTAAAAAAATATTTTCTTAATGGTACACTTTAACGAGATTATATACTAAAACAACATAAATACATAAATAAATGAATTGTCCAGGAAGCAGCTTGTGAAAGTAAAAATTTTTATTTCTGATTGATTTCTCAATGTATAGTTCAATATAATGCCAGTTTTTAATGGCAAAAATTTGGTTCCACTGAAAGTCCATAATGCTACAGAGAGCTACTACTTTTCCCAGGGAGTAGGTAAACAGCTGGAAAGAGAAAGCACAACTTTCTAGCAGCATTGCAACTTAAACCATAGACCTTGCAGGTCTGCAACTCTTACATGGAAAGTGGCGCAGACATTCATTAGCTGGTGACAAAAGTGGGAAGAGAGGAACACGATGCGGACACCCAAGGGAGCACTAATGGAAAGACAACAAACAAACCAGATATATATCTATGAGGGTTTTAAAGGGTAATTATAGAAAAGGGAACCAAATATTTTACTCAAATGCTTTTTAGAGCCTTTCTGTAGAGATACAAATATATATATATTTATCCAAAAATATGTTTTATACAGATAAATGTTTCTCAATTAAAGATGGGACCAAAGCTATAGGTATGACATAAAGCACTCTCTTTTGTAAGACTTTCCACCTGAATTTGCAATTTCCTTAAAGTTAGTGCATTAGTTTTCCAAACAGAATTACCTGACATCTTTTATAGATATAAATCAAGTAGGCATTATTTTTTAAAAGGGTTTGCAGGCTAAACAATATTTTTCTAAGATGCTATGCATATCAAACTTATGACAAGCCCCATTAAGAATCATTATTAATAAACATATCAAAAAGGGCTCTTCATAGTAAACATTTTCTGATTGCCCATTTACAAGTGTTGAAAATGCACAAGAAAGAGTTACTTCACAAGCACTTTTATGTTAATAAGATATTTTGATTCGATACATATGGCAATAAATCTTCACATCTGTAACCATTACTATGTTCTCTTTAGATGGGGAGCTAACACTCACAACCACTACATACAAAATAAAGCACACAATTATTTTGGTGATTTTATAAATCCTTTTTTCCAGGTGCAAAGGCTACAAAAATTCCTAAAAATTAGAGAACACTGAAAACATATTAAAGTTTGACATCTGATTTTATAGTATTTTCATTTTACCCTGAAAGATAACTTAAAAAACCTGACCCTGCTGGAACAGGTCACCTTGCTAAAATTAGTTAAAAAAAAAAAAACACTAAAAACTGGTGAGAGGAGAGTTTATCACTAGTATGTGGGGGTTTTGTAAATAGGTGTCTCCCCAAGACATTAGAAAAATGTTCAAAGATAAAAAACAAAAAGAAAATATGTGGTGGTCCCTAAACTATTCTGAAGGCAGGTAGCTTAGTCTAAGCTAACATATTTTTTCACTCATAGTAATCATCCTCCCCTCAAATGCATGAAACAGTAAAATAGCAAGAATCAAAGAGCACAAACTGTATTTTGAAGAACAGAAAAAAATCTCTAGTGCTGAAATATAGAGTAAAAAGCAGATTTCTTTGGGGACATCAATCAGTTAGCTTGTAATTTATTATGAAGACTTCTCTTTTCTATTACGAGGAGAATCTGCTCCATTTGATGTTACTGTTCCATTTACACCATTTTCTAAAAAGAGAAAAAAAATAAGTGTTAACTCTTCCTTTATATGTATGTAATAATATACAAAGATACAATTAGATAGAAAATTTAAAGTACAATATATATACTCAGGCCACACTTATTTACTAGTGACTAACTTGTGGGTACTTGTATGTGTGTGTGTATGTGTGTGTGTGTTGGTATTAGGGTTTGAACACAAGTACCCAGCATCTGCTCAGCTTTTGTGCTCATACTACATGCTCCAGTCAGGCATTTTGCTGATTAAGTAGAGTTAGTCTCTTGAACTTGCCTGGGCTAGTTTTGAACTTTGATCATCCATGTCTCAGCCTCCTGAGTAGCTAGGATTCCAAATATCTAGCTAATGATTAATCATAACTAAACCTGGTATCATGTTGAACACAATAAATTGAAAGCAGCAAATAAAAACTAAGTACTATTGGAAACAGAAAAAAGTGATAGGATTCAAAACTCTCTGGAACTGGTGCTCAAGTTGTAGACCACCTCCTAGCAAGAATGAGGCCTGAATTCAATTCCAGAACAACAAATGAAACTAAACAACAGTTACAACAGCTTAAAAATAATACTCATAAGTAGTGCTTGTGGTGGAAATAAAGAACCTTTTCACATCTCATAGCAAGGTAGGTACTTTGATATATTTCTTTGCAACATATAAAAAGTTGTTTAGGATGATAACTGCTATGTTTACGAATGTATAATTGCCACCTCCTTCTTTAAGCTCTATGTAAGCTGGGCGCTGGTGGCTCATGCCTATAATCCTAACTACTCAGGAGGCTGAGATCTGAGGATCACAGTTTGAAGCCAGCCTGGGCAGAAAAGGCCCCGTGAAACTCTTATCTCCAATTAACCACTCAAAAACTGGAATTGGCATTGTGGTTCAAGTGATAGAATGCTAGCCTTGAGCACAAAGAGGCTCACGGAGAGTGCCCAGGCCCTGAGTTCAAACCCTGCAAATGACCATAAAAAGTTATATATAAATAGTAACTGATGTCTGATTAACCCCTCCAAAAACAAAAAAAAATCTGTAAAGTTTAAGATTAAATGCTTCGAGGCTTTGGAAAGAACAAAAAGGAAGCGAGACTGACTACATTAAAGATGTGAATTCTGAACCACCTGAAGATGTAAAGGAATCTGAATTTGTAGACTGAAACCATCAAAGAGAGATATTTAAAGTAAAAAAGATACAAAGAAACAAATAGAAGGGAGAACTTTACTAGAGAAACAACACTTGAATATGAGAACTAGACAACAGATTAACTTTTAATAAACAAAGCAGATTTATATATCAGAAGAGATGAGCTGAAGAAAATAGTGAGGTTAAAATTCTTGACACAATAAAAAAATGCTTATAAGGAACAGGGTAAGGGGGTCTCACATATGTAGAATCGGAGTCATGCAAGGACAGGACAGGAGAAGTAAGTTAAAGCAATGTTTGGAAGTGATAGTCAAGAAAATTTATAAAAATAGTAAGAGAAGCAGAGGCTCAGAAAATTCCATCCAACAGGACAGATACAAAAGAGTCACAGTCAGGCATGTCACAGAATAATGATATACTATGATGCATTACACTACAAGTATAGATGGTCATTAGAATAGATGAAAAAAATGAAATCCAATTATATGTTAATAAGAATATCATTTTTATATAAAAAGAAAGGTTTCTAGTGAACGCTATAGAAAAGATATGCCATGAAAATATTTTACCAAAAGAAAACTGGTGTGGCAACACTACATTCAAACTCCACATCTGATCATGACAAAAGTACTTTTTTAATATGAAGACTCCTAGATTTTGATGTACTTAACATGTTTTCAAAGAATGTAAAAATTCACAAAAAAACAAAAACAAATAATCCTCTTTAAAATCACAATGTGAGATTTTAACATAAAATTTGTAATCATGGTCAGATCAAGCAAAGTTCTGACCAAGTCAGTAAAGACAAAAAATGAATACTATTAATAATTGTAATCTGGAACTCAGGAAAAATGGGAATGCACATCTCCTGAAGTACAAACAAAACACCCAATTTGGGCACAGGCTGAACAGCAATCAAAGCCTCAACAATGTCTATGGGATGGAAATTATTTGCAAGATGTTTTTCCATTACAGTGGAATTAAGTTAGAAATTAACAGCAAAAAGAGAAGTAGAAAATGACCATATATTTGTAAATTAAACAGAAACTTAATTTTTAAAAAAGGCTTTGGCTCAATGAAGAAATCACACTTGGGATTAAAATATTTTCATCTGAATAAACTTTAGAGGCAATGAAAATCTGTGAACCAGAGCTGAGCTGAGAGAGCAAGTTTGTCTTTGTTGATGGACATCAATGATTTCAGGGATCTGAAGACCCATCTCAACAAAAGAGCAAGTAAAATCCAACAAAAGGGAGATAAGAACAGAAATCAATGATACAGAAAGATACTTCTAAGAAATCCAAGTTTTGTTGTTGCTTTTGGTAGTGCTTGGGATAGAAGCCACGGCTTCTATCTAGGCAGGTGCTCTACCACTGCAGAACACCACAGCCCTCAAATGCTGGTTTCCAAAGATGTCAATTACTAACACAAGGAAACAAAAAGTGAAATCACTGCTGATCTACTGGCATTAAGATAACAAAAGAAGTTATGAATACTTTTTTGTCAATAAACTTGGATATTTATATAAAATTCCTTGAAAAACCATTTATTAAAGGGGATACAAGATAGGCAAAAACCTGGGTAATCTCATTTTTTAAAGAATGTAAATCTGTAGTTAACTGCTCTATACACCTGTCTTCACTGGGCAATTCTTTTGAACACTTAGAATCTGTTGATACTGAACCAAGGACAAATGTGCCCAATGCTTTTTATAAGACTAGAGTAACTTTCATAGCAAAACCAGCCAAGGATATTACACAGAAAGGCTAATTATAGGCCACTCTTACAGAAGCACAGATGGAAAAATCCTACCAAATACTTAAAAACCTACTCAGCAAAAGTGACATATTAACATTATAAACTTGGGTGTATGCCAGAGTAAGACTTGCTTTACATTAAGAGAATAAAGAGAAACTGTATATATAAACATCTAAATAAGACACAGAAAAACATTTTGTAAAATCCCACATTAAGTCATAACTTGTCATAAATACAGCACAGAACAGACTTTTATTAGAGAACCAAAAAGCATCTACAAAATATTCTTTATTTCTCAGTGTGTTGGGAATTGCTCCTAGGATTTTGGGCATGCTAGGCTAGCATTCTACCAATAAACAACATCCCCAGACCCAAATACCTTTACAAGCTCACCCCATCATATGATGGAGACAAGAAAGTCTATTTCTTCCATTATATTATAGTGTGGTCCTAGCTAGTCTAATACAGAAAGGGAAAAGAAAGATTAAATATTTGCCAAGTATATGATTATGTATTTCAGTTAAATTTTAGAATAAAGTAGGAAGATTCCTTAATACAAGGATAGTAAAGAAGAGTAATGTCGGGGCTGGGAAGGTGGCTCAGTGGTAGAGCGCTTGCCTTGCATGCCTGAGGCCCTGGGTTTGATTCCTCAGCACCACATAAGCAAACAGAAAAAAGCCGGAAGTAGCGCTGTGGCTCAAGTGGTAGAGCGCTAACCTTGAGCTGAAGAGCTGAGGGACAGCGCCCAGGCCCAGAGTTCAGGCCCCACGACCAGACC